TTGTCACTTTGAGAAAGTTTGCAAGCCAGTTGTCACCTTGGTAGTTTGAAATCAGTTATGGTAGAAATATTTACACCACGGAAATTGGCAAATGCCACAAATCAGGCCTCTCCCTGAACTTCCCCCCCAGGACATCGTATCACTACCTGAATCACTTCAGCTCTCTCATTCCACTCCTCCATTCCTGTCTCACCTTACACACATTCCTCAGAGAGGCCTAACCTCGCCCCCTCTCTCTGCACACCCCCTCACAGCTCCGCACTCCCTGTTTCTTACCTGCCTTTGTTTTTCTTCCTAGCACTTCTCAGTTCCTGGCACCAGGCCTTTTGTTGCATTTTGCTTTTTAGTTGTCTGTTTCTCTTCTCTAGCATGTCAACCCATAAGGGCAGGGACTCTTTGAGTTCACTGCCATTTCCTTTGCACATTGAATGGCACACCAAAAATTGCTTGGGAATTAATTAATCCATAGCTGCCTCCAGTGAATGTATGCAGCACACATGGATTGAGCATCTACACTGAGCCAGGCCCATGATAGAGGCCTGGGGACCCAGCCGTCAATAACATAGATCCAGGCCCTGTCAAGTGGAAGAGGCAGAGAAAGACAGAGTCACATAGAAAATACATGCCTCCCACATGTGCTTAGAGCTACGACGGGAGTTCAGGGCACTCGGAGAAGCTCCTCATGCTCCTCCCGGGCTCCAGGCCTCTGCACGTGCTGTGGTCTCTGCCTGGAAGGCCCATGGCTCACTCCTCAGCTCCCTCTGCTTCAACTCAAGGGTCCCAGCAGTTCCCTCTATTTCCAGCTCTCAGCCCTCTCTTCCCACAGTCCCTCCTTCTTCACAGTCTTCACGACAGCAGCCCAGGAAGGTTCCCTGACCCACAGGCTGAAACAGGAGCCTCCTCTGCCCTCTTCTCACTGCCGCCCTGCCCTAGCTTTCCCGGTTACAGCTCTCACTACACCAGGTGGCTAGGTTGTCATCACCTCCTCACACACCGACTCCCTCGCTCCATGTGAGCCTCTGCCTGCATTCCTTCCTTCCTTGTTCCTTCCTCACTTGTTTCCCCTTCTTTCCTCCCTCCCTCCTTTTCTTCCTTCCTCCCTTCCTCCCTTCCTCCCTTCCTTCCTTCCTTCCTTCCTTCCTTCCTTCCTTCCTTCCTTCCTTCCTTCCTTCCTCAGCAAGTCCTGCTCTCGGCCTCCTCTGAGCCAGGCCTGGGCTGGGTGCTGGAGACAGAACTCTAGACCAGGCCTGTTCACTTTGGTGCTGCCTGAGGGCAGGGGACCACATTCACTTCACTTCCAGACGCCCAGAGCTCAGCACAGGCCTGGGCCCAGAGCCTGCACTTATCAGTGCTGTTGAAGTGAACAACACAGAGGGCATGAATATCCCGTGCCTAGAATGGGAAGTCCCGGGACACGTTCACTAACTGAGGCGTCTGGTTTCCGTTTAGGGTCATCAGGCCCCAGTGGGAGGGCTGTCTATCTGTCCATCTGGACAGACACATGGGTAGAGGGAGGTGAGAGGCCCCACACTCCAAAGATCCCGCCTCTCGCATAACCAAGCCCCCACCCCCACTACCTTGTCTTTGGGTGTCTGTTTCTTGATGACCTTGGCTGCCAACTTGAGGCCGGTGGCTTTTCTCTGTGCAGGTACAGACCGCTCCAAAACTTGCCCGCTGGAGAGAGACGAGGCTGGGGAGTGACGGGGTTTCAGGGCCCAAGGGCCGGAGGGGGCCTGTGCTCTGTGCCCATCTGGATCCCCAACGTGAGATGGGGCCCTTCGTCCCAGCCAGCCCTCACTCCCTCCCTGAAAGCTCTACTTTCAGGGACAATGGCTTGAACCCACACCAAACCGCGGGCACAGGAAGGCAGGGCTTGATCCCGCAGAGTGGCCCCCTGAAGGGAACAACCCTGGGAG